AGCAACAAAGCACCATGGGGATGAACCAACTTAGGGTATTTCACTACTCACTGAGGTCTACAAGATACAAGTAGTTCGAGTTCAAAAGCGATTTATAACCTCAAGAGGTTCCCTCGTTAGCCCATGTCATCAAAATCGCCTAACTTTTGCCGATTAATCGCGATTTTGACAACATGGATAGTTACTCCGAAGTGCTTTCTACAGAAATCTGTTGTCCAATATCCTACAGTTACGTTTACTCACAATAAAATCCAAAAAATAAAAGTTGCCTTAAACTTTTGTCCTTCACTTTAAATCATATTATTCCTCTCTAATCAAATCGATATATAAAGCAATTAGAGTGTCTTGGGGTAATTATATCATCTTGTAGAGAATTGCAAGCTATATCACCTGTATGAATTGTATGCTATTGGTACTTAATTTTACGTTAATTAATTAATTAGGAACTACGAGAATGTGTGTTTTACGAAAAAACGTCACTTGGAGTAATTACGCTATTTTTCATGGAGTAATTATGGTTAATCCGTGTAATTTGCACGGAAACGGCAGAGTTTAAATGCTGCCGGCTTCTGGAGACCAATTTTACATCAATGACAAATAGCCAAATTATAGACGAGATTGTTCTCTATCATATGAAGTAAAAACTGGAACAAGATTGCCTGGGTCTAGCGATTTGTAGCCGTCTGATGAGTTTTGCTGAATTTTACCAGCATCACAGTGTTCGCGGGATTCCATGCAATATCATTTGTGGCAATAACGAACGTGACACTGTTGGCTTGTGCTGGAAGATATTTAAGCTGGCCGCTGCTAATTTGTTGGATATAATCACGTATCCCAAAACCGGAGTTGGATTTTATTCGAATGTTGACCGTGTTATTGTTAAATTGGGGCAGCCGATATCGTGACATTGTTGAGTCTGATAGTATGACATGAGTTGCTTTAGCGGTTGGTGTTGTTGCCGTGTTCTGCTGGTGGTGCTGCCGTGACGTGGTGCCGTGTCTGCTTGGATGCCGTGCGTGGCGGGGCGACATTTTGTTGGATGTTGTTCGGTTGCGCGTATGGTTTGGTTTGCCGCGAAGGTGCCACTTATGGATTTAGTACTAGGATGGGAATGGCCGGATCAACAGACACGACAAGAACAAGGTAAGTACTTACCGACAAGTAACCGATTTGATCTGTTTTTAGATACCGACCAAGGCAACCACTACCCAATTCTGAACTGAGATGGTGGTGGTATGTAGCTGCCGATGTTTGTGTACGAGTTGAAATTGGACGTGGTGCCGTTCTGAAATCGTGTTTTTTTGCCTTTGTTAACCATGGGTTTTTGTTCGACTGTTGGTGATGATGTGTGATTTTTTGCGGGTAGCATCCATGCTGGCGGCTTTTGAGTTTTAGTGGTAGTCGTATGTAACTGTTGCTGGTGTACTGATGTCTTGGCTGGATGTTTCGGAGCTGATATCGTTGCATTAGTTGTGACTGCCGGTTGGATATTGCCAGTGTACGTGGTGGCAGAGCTATAATGGGCGCTAGTGTGATAGTCGATTCAGTGATGCCGCGTGGTGGTGATACGTTTGTTGACACTGGTGGTGGTGATATGTTTGCTGGTACCCGTGGTGGTGATAAGTTTGTTGGCACTAGTGGTACTGGTAACTTTAGTATGGCCGGTGATGATGCGACGGACGGGGCGAAATGACGATGTGACGGTGGTGGTGAAGTTGGAAGCGGTGTGCCTGTACGCGGCCGCTTTGCTACCGGGAATGTCGGTATTTCTTCCAAGTTGCCAATTGTGCGGCGGATTCGACGCAGGATTTGTGACTTACGAGATCCTTGTTGTTTATACTGCATTTGACAATTAGTTCGTGGTGACGGAGGTGAGACAGGGACTTGTGAAACTATGTGAATAAAAACTGAGCGCGATGGTGTGGCGTGCAGGACTGTTGTTGATGGTTGAACGGTTCGAGATGGAGTCGTTGGTTCCTGGTTGTCTCCCGTATCGATTGATGCATCGATTACAGCTGTGATTTCGAGATCCGATGTTGATGTTGACTGATTGTTTTTAGGCGGTGTTCGTCAAATAGGTGAGGCAACGTTATGCCTTCANAGGAATCTTTCTTCATAGAAGTATATGAGATGTATATACGACGATTTTGTTTGGAAAATATACCATCTTATTAGCAGTGCACTATTTTATGACAGTAGAACGCCTTATTATGTGTAAAAGAGAGAATAGTAGTTCTCTATCGAAAGCAAAACAAACAAAATCTAAGATTTCGTGAGAGAAATGCAAGTTGAACGAACACAGCTCAATGTTTCTGTATTTCGTCTTGTAATGGTAATCTGAAGTCCCAGGGTAGGTTTGAAGCTGAACAAACAGCTTTTCTGCACATCTCTACCTAAGACGATATTTCAAAATCGAAGCTTTTTTTTATATTTTTAATTTTCCCTTCACGAGATATAAAAATGTGGTAAAACCTTGGGTGAAACCTAGGATTTTGATTTTAAAAACCCTATAACTCGGAAAGGAAAAATCCGAAAAGAAAACACTACGTACGTTTCTGAAATATCATCTTCAACAAATATACTTTTTGCAGGATATTCGCGGCAACACTCATATGTATGGAAAAAACCTTGAAAATTTTTGAGAAACATTGTAAAGAGAACACATCACTCTATCAGATTATGTATGAGAAAAAATCTTGAAGACACAAGAAAGGTTAAAAGCTTTCGAGAAAATTTGTATTTTTTCAGCCTTTTGAATAAAAACTGACAAAACTTATCAATAGAAACATTCGAAATAGTCTTATTTTTTTTTGTATCTAGACGTCTCATTTGTAGTCTAGACTTCTTCTTAGAAGCTCTACATGCAGCTATGTTCAAAAATGAAAGTTTTGTGAAAAACAGAGGAAGAATATCCTTTAGGGACGAAAAGTATCTTGTTAAATTCATAGAACAGATCGAATGGTTTCGATCTGTTCCTGGTTGTCTCCCGTATCGATTGATGCATCGATTACAGCTGTGATTTCGAGATCCGATGTTGATGTTGACTGATTGTTTTTAGGCGGTGTTCGTCAAATAGGTGAGGCAACGTTATGCCTTCAATGTATTCAAAATGTCTTCGATGTACTGCATAGACCATATATCCATAATACCTCACGTAGAGGTATTTTTTATATAGGAATCTTTCTTCATAGAAGTATATGAGATGTATATACGACGATTTTGTTTGGAAAATATACCATCTTATTAGCAGTGCACTATTTTATGACAGTAGAACGCCTTATTATGTGTAAAAGAGAGAATAGTAGTTCTCTATCGAAAGCAAAACAAACAAAATCTAAGATTTCGTGAGAGAAATGCAAGTTGAACGAACACAGCTCAATGTTTCTGTATTTCGTCTTGTTATTAAGACATTTTTTTATCTGTAATGTAATTTTCTACGTGTATGCACTAAATTAGCAAAAATTGCAGATGTTCTGAAAATTTTGGATAAGAAATTATATTAATTGATTACTATATATTTGAATGACATAAATCATTGTAATACATCTGTTTTTAGATGAAGAGTAATTTTGAATATGTTGATCAATAATGCTGGTGTAGCAAAAAAATTAAATATCAATACAATAAATGAAAACGATATGTTGGAAACGTATAGAAACAACGTTATTGGACCATGGAAAGTGACAAAAGTAAACTATTGATCGATTTTAATAATTTGTTATTGAATTTTTTCAACACATAGGCATTCTTACCGTTATTAGAAAAAGCAGTATCAAAAGGTGAACGTATTTTAATTTTTTAATTGTACTTTATTTAAAAAATAAAGTACAATATCACGGGAACATGAGAAATAAAAGACTAGCTGTAGTTATATATCAACAAAAAATAAATTCTATTAGTTATTTAACAAGAAGCTTGCTAACATGCGGAAAAGTTTATCTAAATTACCAGGACAACACTGTGCATTTTTTTCCATCTCTTGAATCAATTAGTTTACCGTAATGGTTATCTTTCATTGCTGCAATGCATTCCATGATACTCTTAGATGCTGTATGAGTATCCAAGGGAGCTGTGTCAGTA